CAATTCTATATACTTACTGTTTGGGAGGAAATTCCATAGATAGTATTGGGCCTATTCCTACAGGGATCACTGAGCTTGTGGATCAGAAAGGTCAGCAGTTCGGCGGTTTGAATCCCGCACAACGGAGTGAGTTCCCGTTACTTATCCCAGCTTCTGCCAACATAGCAGTTTGAAAGCATGTAAAAATGCAAGTAGAAAAACAGGGAACAACTTTGGTGGGAAGGTAACAGCATTCTGTGCGCCTTTGGCGTTTAGTCATGCCGGCCATATGACCACGGAGACGTCTTCGGACAGCGCTGGCTCTTCGGCTTTGAAACAGAGATGAGCACCGCCCCCTAGATTCGGGAACGACTAGCACATATGTGCGAGGGGAACCTTTACCTTTATCTTAGTGTGCAACAATTGTACTGCTTTGGCTGAAATATGACAATCATCAGTCTTGTTTCTCACTCATGTATCTTCTTTCTAATCTCTTTAAATACTAACAAAAATGTTTTTCTCTTATATGGTTGCATACAGTATTTTTATCATTAGTCTATTAGAATATATGGATTAAAGTGTATTGAATGTAGAATATTGAACCTCAATTCAGTAATTTGTTTTATTCAAGAAAGAGGTCATCCAAATTCATTTATCACCTTGGTAGTCCCAATACCCCAAAGTCTGTGTATGAATATCTTTTGAGAGAGGAATGGTGCCATGATAATACACCGAGGATCGGTGGATGTAACAGATGGTACCTTTCTTTTGAGATTATCACTCTGTCTGTTGTTAGCTGATATTTATTCAGGAACACTAAACCAAGGAGAACTGAAGGATATTTCCGTATTGGAAGAAACTGAAGAAATTATGAGAGGGGAGATGAAATATGTTTGAGCTATAACAGAAAGTGGGATTTGGTGGAGCACTGTTCTGAATTTGGAATTCCCAGTATCGATTTGCAATTTCTACAGTCCTGGAGGGACCCACACTGAGCAAAGCTGTGTTTCCAGTAGAGACCAAAAGGACCTCTGGGTCCCTATCGGTTAACTCTTGTGACTTTGGTGATCTCTTCGCTTCCCCTCAGGTAGCCGAGAAACTGCCTTCGCCTACGCTGTCAGCGCTGCAGGAGTTGTGAACGCCATCAGCCGCGCCTGCCGCGAAGGAGAGCTCTCGACATGTGGTTGCAGCCGGACAGCCCGACCCAAGGATCTGCCCCGGGACTGGCTTTGGGGTGGGTGTGGGGACAATGTGGAATATGGCTACCGGTTTGCCAAAGAGTTTGTGGATGCCAGAGAAAGGGAGAGGAACTATGCCAAGGGATCGGAAGAGCAGGCCCGGATACTCATGAACCTACAGAACAACGAGGCAGGGCGCAGGGTAAGATAACTTTAATTTTCTTCTATTTCTCTATAGATTAGCTTTCCCATCTCTGCGATCCTAGATGTATTTTACTGGAATTCCCTGGAATTCTATTTTATTGGAATTGGCCCAGGGGTGGGTTCCAGCTGGCACTACTGCTAGTTCGCTCGTGTGTGTGCCACATGCGCTTAATGTGCGCTATGCACACATGCGCAGTACAATTAAAATTATCCTGTGCATGCGCAGAACTGAAAAACAAGATGGTGGTCCCTATAGTGCCTCCTGGAGAACCATTTCATGGGCGTGCCAGGCCTGGATCGCTGCTGGTTCCAGCGACCCAGGCCACCAAAACCACTATCGGTTTGGCCGAACCAGGCTGAACTGGTAGGAACCCATCACTGCTTTGGCACATCCAGTAGGGCACAGGTGTCAAACTCGCTGCGTCCCGTCGTCGTCACATGACATTTCACAATGTTTTCCCTATTTGTGGAGCTGAGGTGGGCGTGGCCTGTGTGTGACTCATCCGGCCCATAAACTGCCAGTTTGACACCCCTGCAGTAGGGCCACTGAATGGTATTGCTTGTTCCATTGTTATCTTTCCTTTGGTTATTTTAGGAGAGAAAAGAAAAAGATGTAGGAAGCTGTTTGTTCCACTTCCCCTCATCCCAGCCCATGGAGGGAAAGTTCTGCATTTAAATTTTAAGGGCCTGGAGACTAAAACATATGAAGAACAGTTGCAGGAATTGTGTATTGCTAGTCTAGAGAAAAAAAGGACTAGGGACGACATTATAGCAATTTCCCAATATTTGAGGGGTTGCCACAACGAATAGGGAGTCAACTTATTTTCCAAAGCACCAGAAGGTAGGGCAAGAA